TAAATAACCTACTGTACTGCTCCACAGTGGGGGACCTGAATAGCAGATAATGCAGGCCTACAAATTGCCTAGTCACTGCTATGGTGCAGAGGATTGTGGTTCTTTGTACTTTGCAGTCATGTTTTCCTGAGTTGTGTGCAACGATTATGGGCTTCTGCTCACACCAAACTGACTCTTTCCTTTCCATCCTTCCTGCTATAGCTCCTTCCCCCAGATTTGTTCTCTCTCCCCCCACCACCCCCGGCCAGAGCAGACATAGTGGGCATAAGGGTTGCAAGCAAATCCACTGAACTGGAGGCTGCTCCACTGGTAAACAATAAGCACTATCAGATGCAAACCTATGCACATGACACACTCAGTTGGGGGATTGGTTGAAGTGTTGTGTGAACCAATCTAATGTGAAAAAATGACCTTTATGTCCCCGGACCAGGCCCAGTCTGGTTTGGGGCTAAACTAACTCCCCCTGCCCCCAGTCATTATTCCCCCTGTGTTGGGTAAACTGCTTACCAGGGAGGTAGCTGATTCTCTCCATTCTAGAGACTGAGACAACATCCTAGAGAGACTGGGTCAAAATAGAACTTCTCTAGGAACTCATTTCTTTGTCTCCTTGGTAGCTTTTATTTCATAGGCAAACTGAAGGGAAGTAGAAAAGGGGATTGATGGATGGAGTGGGGATGGGTAAGCAGAGGTAGAAAAGCGGGAAGGGAGGGGGCAGCCTCTCTTCTTCCCTTGCAGGAGCTGGAGATCTAAAAAATGGCTGCTGTGTGATAGGTCCAGCCATCTTGTGTCATGGGCTGCTTGTACACAAAATAAGATGTTGATAACTAACAATGATTGGGAGATCATATGCATCTTATCCTCCTGACTATTTTTCTTTCTTCCCTTTCTTAGCCAAAGTAGCCATTCTATCATCTTATATTATCCTCTGGAAGTCTATGAGCAGCTACGGGAAGAATAAAGACAACCCCCTTGTTCACAAGGGAGGTACCTGACAATTTTGCCAAAACAATTAAGTGTGTTTCCACCTTTTTTGTCAGGATTACTAAGGCAGTGTTGGATCCTTTCATCCTGTCCAGCCCTATTTTACCACAATGCCTAATTGCTGAACAATGAAAGAGACACTGAAGGGGGGGGGGAAGTGTGAGACAGGTAAAAAAATTATTACATAAGAAGCGTAATGACAGGAAAAATGGACAGAATGCATTCTTATAAATATCACAGAGGACATTTCAATTTCTAGAACCAGAGTGTCCTCTAGTGGTAGGTGTGATGAAGCCTCAGCAAACAGAAGGCTCTAGGCAAGAAGTTTACAAGTTCTTCTGGAAACACTAGTATCAGTGAAGAGCAATACACAAATAGGAACAAAATAAAAGGAAAAGTAAGAAATGCCTTCCCTGCAAAAGAGATGCAGGATAGATGATAGATAGATAGGTAGATGGTAGGTAGGTAGGTGGATGGATGGATGGATGGATGGATGGATGGATGGATGGATGGATGGATGATAGACAGACAGACATGAAGAAGTTAGAACAAAAGTAAAAGGGAAAACTAAGTGAAAAAAAGGAAAGAGTATGCAACAGTGGCAATCCTTTCACCTAAGTTAATAGCTAGAAAAGCAAGAATCTTAAAAACATGGGAGACAAGCAGGAAGTACTTTACATGGACTACTGCAATGTGCTTTACACGGGGCTGCCCTTGAAGAGCATCCAGAAGCTACAGCTGGTACAGAATGCAGCAACACAGGCAGTCATGTGCACTCCTTGAGAAGCACATTACACTTTTGCTCTGTGAGCTGCATTGGTCGCCAGTTTGCTTCCACATGCATTTCAAGATCTTGGTTGTAAACTATAACGCCCTTCATTGCATGAGGCTGGGTTATTTGATTCATCGCCTCTTCCGAGTTATGTCTTCCCATCCCGTCAGGTTTAGTAGGACAGGAATGCTCCAGGCCCATCAATTCAGGAATATCATCTGGCGGGACCCAAGGAAGAGAGTTTTTTCTGTTGTGTCGCCTGCCCTTTGGAACATCCGCCTGGAGATTGGATTTGCCCCAACTCTGCAGGCCTTTTGCAAGACCTTAAAGACATGGTTCTGTCATGGGGCTTGGAGATCTAGATGTGTGCCAGAGCCCATTTTATTTGATTTGATGGTGGTTATTTGATTTGGTGGTGGTTCTGTTTTTATCCTGGCTATTGATTCTGTTTGTGTTGCTTTTATAGTTATGTGTTTTATTATTTTTTTAAACTGATGTTAGCCATCCAGAGTCATGAATGTGAGATAGGTGGCCATATGAGTTGAAATAATAGTCATTTAATACAAAAGGGGATGCTTGTTACCAAAAATAATCCCTTTTGTGACTTGCCCTCAAGATACACTAGAGTTGAATCCAGCTCCCTTTCCCTTTTGTGTACATGCCGTACACAGTTGTACAATCTATGTTGCAGGAGCTTTTGGAGAGGGTGAAGAATGGCAATGGAGGTTCCAGCAGACAGAAACACTGATAATCCAGTTTTCCTGTCCCTACTCTGGATACAAGGCAGGATATCTTCAAATATACTATATAAATCCTAGATTAAACCTGAACCTGGTAAGTATTACCTTACCAGGTAAGTTTGCTCTATTGAGGGATAATTTTACCTCTTATCCTTTAATAATCTCTCATTATATTCTGCCAAGTTGATGTCAAATGTATTGGAGCAAGATTGCATAATCCGAGAAATCCCAGCAAACAGATTTCCACCTTGGAATATTTCTGCAGAGGAAGTTGAGACTCTTCAGGATCTTGAACTCTGTGACAGGATGGTTTGTGCTTCTCTGATCATAAGAAGTGTCCTGTGGTTCAGAACAAAGGCCAGTCTAATCCAGCATCATGTTCCCACTGGCCAAGCAAATGCCTCTAGAAAGCCAATGAGTAAAACACTGGCCAGTAGCATTCACTTGCATCTCCCAGCAGCTGGTAATAAGAACTCATCTTTTCAGCTTTTTGCTATGTAGTTTCCTCAAGGGATCCCATTTCAGAAAGTGAAGGAGAAATGAGTTCTCACAGAGCTCAAGGAAACAACTTCATGCACACCCCATGCTGAGGATGCAGACTTGGAACTTCTTTTCACTGCTGTCAGATCAGCAATAGGTGCCCATAAACTCTTGTCTCGTGAGTTTTCTTTGTAAAATTTTAGTATGAGCAATAAACCTTGATGAGCATCCTCCACTAGTCAGGAGACTTAAGAGCTTTCCTTCCCTTTGTAGAATTGCTTAAAAATCTACTCTTCCTGCCACAACCACAATCTATAACAGCAAAGTTGTGAGTGTTTCTGAGAAACTGCCCTCCAGTAGCCTAGCTTAGAAGGCCATGCGGGATAGGGAGTTCTTTAATTCAACCCCACAGGATCTTCTGCTTGAGATATCTGCTTTATTGTGCCTAAGAGTAAGGCCAGTTCTGCTCACAGAGCACTGCAGAGTCCACAAAAACCTTAGGTGTGATCTTTAAAAACGACTAAGGGCAGGGGGAATATATTTATTATTGTTTCTCTACAGCTTGACTGCACATCTTGTCAACTATATCTTAAAACTTATGTTCTGTGTTTCCAAATGGGCATTTTTTTTTTGTTTCCATCCATCTCTGTATCTGTTATAATTGATGGCAAGGTAAGCTATACAAGAAGTAGCTGCCAATAGCCCTGCAGCAAATATTTTATATGCCAGGTGACATTTTCCAACACCATAGTGTATAAATAAATCTCTTGTTGAAGAAACTTTGTTTGTAAATAGGACTAGTAGTAATTTACAAGACTGCCTGACAGAGACCTCAACTATTTGAAAACAAAAGTAATAGATGAGTTGAAAAAAAATAGATCTAAATCTTTCTTATAAAAAAGAATATTCAGACATAGTATTATACTTCAAGAGCAACATTTTTTTACAAAAAATTATTTTATTGGCAGTTTTATGATTAGCTGTACAGTGTAAACTTTGTTTGTCACCTGAACTTGAAATAACACTGGTTACAAATTATTAAAAAGCACCTTTGGTTTGTTTCAGCAGTTTTTTGGATTTACAGTTTCAGATATTTCTAACAGAATGAAAAAAAATTAAATGTATTAAAGTTATACAAGAGTTATATCAAATTTAAACATTTAATATAGCATTTGATATTTTAATGATAAATATAACATGAAAACATAATCACAGAGACTTAATATTGGCCCTGCTTTCATCACATGGAAGTCTGGTAAGCTGTGATTTCTGATGCACATTTTATTTTCTTAAAAAAATAAATTGCTGCCTTTTAGAACAGCTATCTTGAGAAATCTGATTTGCTTGTTGGGCTGTAGATATACTTTATCAACAGAAGCAAACCTTCCTAAAACATTTGAAAATATTTTTATTAATCCACACATTGTGGGTTATAACACTCTACTTTGTTAATTTGAATGCTAGCAAGTGGCATAGAAACTCTACCATTTTTTTACTAATATCAAGGAAATCATAGAATAAACACAGTGACTGAAGAAAATAATTCATCTATCGAATGGGTTGTTTCACAATAGCAATTGCTTTTGCCATATGTAAATAAAAGCACATCTAAATTGAAACTAAAAGAAAGTACAGGCAGTCCTCATTTAGTGACTCCAATTGGTTCTGATGACTCAGTCATTAAGTGAAATGGTTGCTAAGTGAACATGTGACACAGAGAGAGAGAGAGAGACTGTGAAGATCACTGGTTGCTGTCATCTCATTCAGATAAAAAGTTCTCTTGTATAGTGCCCTGTGCCTGACCCGTTTTTTTTCCTTTTTTTGCCCGCTCACAGGGCGGAGAGATTGTTTAAACAAGCTATCTCTTCCTGAGCAGCTTTTTTCTGTAGCCCAGTGCTTCCCTAAAAAGTGCTAACAGCAGGTTAACAAGCTCAGCCTCTCCACTTGCTGGCAGCTGCTGCCTGAAACTGACCAGACCTTAATCAGTTTCACACTGAAGGCTTTTGTTGTCCTAAATGCATGCATTGGTGGGAAAATGAATTTTTTATTACCATTTATTACTGTGGTATTTGTGAACAGTTACTATCCAATGCAATTGCTAAATGAGGACTACCTGTACTAGAAGAAAAGGATATAAAAATTAATATTTGACAGTTTTCATCTGAAAATAATTTTTCCACTGCTCACACTTTTACTGTTCAATACAGACATCCACAGGGCCGTACCAAAGAGAAAAGTGATTCTGCAATAGTTTACTAAAGGCTACCCTTCTACTGAAACTAGAGGAACTGGACCTATACAAATGGCCAATGACTCATATATATCCTTTTGCTTCCCCAATAAATTTCTGGAAAATCCAGGAAAAAGTTGGGGAAAAGATAGCTTTAAGACAACTGTACAGAGAAACCATCAGTTTTTAATATCATGCTGCTTTAATCCTTCTTAACAGAGCATCCGATATTATTTGTATTCTCAAGAGTTTTGTGGAATAGCGATTGTACTACTTAAGATATTTGAGATAAAAGCAAGAGATTCTCTTTGGCTTAGGCAGCTGATTATCATTACAAATAAACTCCTACATTTGGGTTTCAAGTCATGTCATTAAATTCCTTCTTGGGGTTTTACTGCCCAGCATTCAGCTGCACTAGTCATAAGTTATCCATGAATTGTCAAAATATGATTCCATACTAAATAAACATGGATGTTTAATATCTGATTCTCTTACGCTTTCTAACACCCCAATACTATAATTCATACAATAAATGATTTTAGAGGTTTTATTTAACTGGCACAGTTACAGGTGGCTGTTACACTTTGTGTTCTTTTGTTTTGTTTTTTAAAAAAGGAATGTACAATAAATGGCTGCAGAGAAGTGCCAATATTCGATTACATGTGGGCTTCCAGCTCCAAGGGAAAGAGCAATCATTACCTTAAGGATCTTTCCATTATCTTAAGGAAACTTGCCGTTTACTTAGTGGCAGTATATTTCCCCAAGGTGGCAGCTACAGTTCTCAGTTCCTTTCTAGACAATCCACTCCAATGGTATTATCTGGGCATCGGCAAGAACGGCCTCCTGGGGTAGCCAGACATAGATGAGTGCAGCCTCCATTATTCACGGAACAGTAGTTGTGCCCTGCAAAATATACATGCAAGCTTAATGAATCCATGTGCTTTATTTATTAAATAAAAACATTAGAGGCAAAACAAATATTGGACCAGCTGGGATGCATAAGCAATGATGGACCTTGGATGGCTCATGCATCCTTCCCTTGCTGTCCTCCTTTTGGCATACGTAAGTGAATAACTGGGGACCTTGGTTCTTTCAGCGTTTGCTTCTGGCTTCTTTGAGCTAACAGAGAATAGGGATTATTTTGATATGGGAAGTGAGTACTTTTGATCTTCTCTGCTGCATGTAGCAATAGCATAGAAAAGGCTATAATTAACAATGAAACATTACTGTCGTCACATGGTGGATCAGTTGCTTTCCCCTATTTCCAGACCAGTGCTCTCATTCTGCACCATTGCTTCTCTTCTTGCTTCCTTCTCTTTGAAACATTTTGAGCAAACATACAAAGCCTGCATTTGTCTTTATGGAAAGCTGCCTCAGGGGTTCCCACAAGAATTAAACCTATTTTGTTCTACTGTATATGTTAGAAATCTCAATATTCACAAAAAGACATCTCACATAAGTAGGGAGGGAGTAGTCTTTAGGGAAGAGGAGGAGGAGGAGGAAGAGGAAATAATAATGGATTGGAGGATCTTGTGTATTTTGTGAGTGAGTCACATATCACAGGGATGGGATAAATAGCTTGTGTAGTTCCTTTCCTAGAATTCTTTGCATAATACTTGCCAAAACTCTGTTCACTTTTATTCAGCTCGCAAATGGCATTTCTGTATAACAAGCTGAGTTGTTTCCTTACCTAAGGGAATAAATTTTTAATAAGGCCTGCATTTTAAAAAAATGCCCAGTACATAAACAGCAAAATTGGTGCCAGACATAACATCTTGAGAAAAAAATTCCAAACTGGAATGTCACTATTGAAAATGTCCAATCATTTGTTGTGACAATTTCACCTTTTTAAACATGGAGAAAGGCATTTTCTCATTACCTTAATGAATGGACAATTATGGGAGGAGGCACTTTTTAGAATTCCCAAATCATTTATGGATGATTGAGCCCATGAATTGCTTTTAATATATGCTACTGCATTCTGCAATATTTGAATCTTCTGAATTGTTTTTGGAGGGAGACTTGTAAGGTTCTGCAGTCATCAAAAGAGGACATTACTATTTAATAAATAAATATGGGAGACATAGCTTTTCCAGGAATCTCAACTGTAACTGGTGAATTTCACTTTATGCCAGAGATCTTTAAAAGAAGTCTAAACAAAATGGATTTGTTGGGGAGCACCTCTGTGTCTGGGGTGACTCTGCCCAGAACTGATTGAGTTTAACCTTTCTGAATTAGGGAGTGTACTCATAGGATGTCTGCTGTAACAGGATTAAACTTCACCCAGACCATTATCCAAAGGGACGCGGTGGCGCAGCGGCTTAATGACACTGAAAGTTGCCGGCCAGAAATGGTTGACACTTCAGCGGTTTGAGCCCAGCTTCGCGGGGCAGAGCGAGCTCCTGCTTCCTCCCCAGCTCCTGCCAACCCAGCAGCTCGAAAAC